GCAAAAAACTGTGCGGCAAAACCGTGAGCACTTAGCAATTTAGGCTCCGCCCACTTTCCCGGGAAATTCTTTCCTCGGAATTTGTGGGGCCTCAAAAAACCCCACCGTGCCGACAGGTGCAATTTTTAGGCAAACATTGATTTTCCAGGAGATGAAAATCAAAAACTTGTACTTCGAGGGTGTCAATCAACTCTCGTAAAAGCTGGCTACGATTTGGTGACCAACTACTCCTGCCACCGTAACTCGGACGCAAGCAGCTCGTCATCAGAATGCGTCACCACCTGCCAAGAGCCGCTTTGCAACACTTCCCACGGACCTCAACACATTCCACTGCTAATTGCCTTGAGCTATTTATATGTGTTCTGATGCATTTTCTTCTTATTTAGTGTCAACATAGAAATTCAATTTATTATATGAAAAATTGAAGATTATCATTGTCTTTTAAAAAAGATTGGAGTCGGTGAAATATTCAGAGATCGGTAAAAACAGTTAAAATCGCGTAAATGAGGTATTGGTGCAAATAAGGAATGAGTGATTTTCCTGATCTGAGAATTTCGGATGGAAGTTTCATGATTGAATTCCAAGAGTGGCAAATGTATTGCGAATTTTCGAAAGTGTGTCAAAGCGCTGAAAAAATTACATTATATTCATTCGACGGTATTAGACCTACATCTCCATGATCAGCAGTCAGAGTGCTGTTGACCATAACAACATTAACGTTATCACGCATGTCCAGTCCGTGGAGTAGTTTTGGCGAGAGTCTGAAACGGGATACGTTAGTATATCAAAACAGGAAAACGATACTGACAAGAAGTATTGAGTCTTTGTGAGAGTTCCACTCGTTCCATTCCACAATCCGACCATAATATCGAAAACTTTTCTTTCGTTTGTTGGATCCATGCCTTGATTAATCTCGTCAATGCATCGGAATGGAACCGGGCAAAGTTGTTGGAGAGCGAGAAGATAAAGCATAGTTGCGACACTTCGTTCACCGCCAGATTGAACCTGAATTAGATTTACTAGCATTTAGAAATATACAGAGACTTACCCTATTGTCGAGACGTTTCATATTTTCTCCTTTTCGGAAGCAGACCATAATCATAATTCCATATTTCTCGATGTCTAAGCAATTCTCTGGTGTCTCCAGACTAACTTCTCCTCTACAGCCGAGGACTTCGAAGAACTTGATATAGTTTAGATTGATCTTTTCAATCATTTCTTCGACCTCTTCTCTCCACTTGCTGATGAGATCCCCAAGTTCTTGATGAGCAGTTTCACGATTTTTGATCAGTTTATCGTATTTCGTGCATTCCTCTTCCAATTCCTTATTGATACGTTGTAACTGGTGCTCATGCTCAATTGAACCATCTTCACCACTGTTTTGAACAAGAGCCAGGCGTGTTTTCTCCGAAGTAATACACTGATCAAGCTCATCCTTGTCGGTTGGAACGTTCGAGTCTTTGAACAGCTGTGAATTTAAAACACACATAATCCTTTTTATAGAATGCCTAATTTCTTACCTTCGTCATCTTCTCGTACAACTCTTTGTCAGTTGGATCCATTTTTGACACATCTAAATGCTCCAATGCACATTCCTGCTTCAAAGCGTTTTTAGCAGCCTTTCTTCTGTTGAATGCAGTTTTCAATTGGTCCTCAGCTGCTTCCTTAACATGTCTCAAGTCTTCGCGTTCACTGCGATAATCTTCAGCTTTTGAGTTGAGCTTAATCGATTTTATTTTGCATAACGTTTCGATGAAGTTGTGACGAGCTTTTTCCTTAAACTTTTCGCTGCATGCTTTCTGGAAAAAGAATTGTTGGACATATTTGTTCAGTATATAATATTTTCAAAAAATTTACATGGTCGGCTACACTCTCCGCCATTGCCTTTTGTACTTTCTTTAGCACATGGTCCTCGACGTTTGCAAAGTCATCCTCGGCTTTTTGGATATCGAAAGTTTCTCTCTCCAAATTCCGAAGTTTCATTTTTTCCTGCTTCAGGAAATTCTCCCATTTTGACTCGACACTTTTCTTTGATCTCCACTCCATTCGGACCTTTTGTAATGCATCTCGCTTTTTTGTGATGTCGTAACGTTTCTCTTTGAGCTCCTCTTTCATGCATTCAATTTCGTTTTTCTGAAATACCGTTTTAAACAGTAAACAAGGATATTTTCTTACCAATCTCTCATATTCCTCAGCCTTGTCGTCCTTTTCTTTCTTCACATCCATTGACTTCAGAAAGCATGCCTGTCCCCAGAACGTAGCGTCTCGCATTTCAGATTGTGAATTAAGCGTCCGGTTAGCATATTTGGATCTTTGTAGTTGGAAACGCATATTATTTGCCATGTAGACTGAGACTCGCAAACGTTCAAGCTCCTTGTTGATGTTGTCCATTTGGCGTAGATCTAGACTCCCAACTGGAATCTTGTTCAATCCAGCCACGTTGCACAGGTACTGTTTTAGAGGAGCTGGTGCTTCGAAGCAGTTTGAAGCCAAGTACTTGAATCCAAGATCTTTTAGATCGGGACGAACTTCTTCGTTCAGTTCATCTTCATAAACATTTTCAGCAGTCACAACAGTTGTATTGATACGCCATGGTTGTTTTCCATTAATGAGCAATTCGTCCTCCTTATACTGACAGACGAACATTGAACGATCGCGCATACCAATAGAATTTTCAAGGATTTTCGCCGCTTCCGGTGATTTGAGAATCATCTATAAATGTTTTGTCATTTTTGTTTAAAACAGGAACTACTAACATTCATAAAAGGTGTATAAATTTCTCCTTTGAACTTCGACTGATTCTTTTTATACCAATCCCAAGCTTCTCCTGCATCGGAACTTAATTGATCAAGCATATTCCATCGCTCATTTCTGTTGTCTTTTGAAGCCTTGCCCTCTCCTGCTCTCCCTGTAAAAAATCCAATTTTTACGATCTGACGAAATAATCTCACTTCTTTCGAGAGAGCTCAATTCATATTTTTTGTGATGAATCTTTTCCTCCTCTTTGTTAAGCTCGCGTTCGATCGCCGTGAATTCAGATTCAGAACGATCGTTCTCAATCATAAACTCGTCGTAGCCATTAAGATCGTCCAATGCTGCCTTCCATTTTGTTTCAGCAACTTCGATAGCGTTACGTCGTTTTTCCACTTCCCTAATATGGATTTCTGCCTCTTTTTTCACACGATCTAATTTGGATTTCGCATCGGCAAGCATGTTTTCAGCCATATGTTTGTCTGATTTACTTTGAAAGTTAGCCAAAATTTCTCTTGCCGAATTTCCCTAAATTGTTTTTAATATTTTCTCTATTATATAACTAAGTTATTTACCGTTCCAGCAATCGCCCTGGCTTCTTTATTAATTCGCTCTTCCAGTTTCTCAATTTCGTCTGCACTGGCTTTGATCTTCGCTTCTACTTTACGATACTCCACCAATGCATTATCCGCGATTTTCTGCTCTTTCGCATACTCTTCGTCAGCCTCTTGAAATTCCATACAAGCCATTTTCTTCTCCAGAAGTCGAAGTTTCGATTCGAGAGCCATTTTCTTTCTGTAATTTTCAACGAGTGGCATGATTTTCGTTCGGGTGTCTTCTAAATGTTTCTTCGCTTTTTCTGATGTGGCACACAATTCTTCAATGGTCATCGAGTCTTTTCTTTGTTCCATCAACGATCTATGTCTCTGATCGAGATCATCTGATGCTGCTTTTTCTGTATTTTTAAGCAATTCAATTGATGATTGTTCTGAGAAACTTTTCACTTTATCTTGAGCGAGGAAAGCACAAGGATTGTCGATCTGTGATGACAAAACTTTGTTATTTTAATTCAGTTGACTCGAGAATTTACCTGAATGTTGTAGTGCTTTCTCAGATCATTTATATCACTCTGTGTGGCATGCGAATTGTTAAGTTTGTATTCCGGAGCCTTTCCAACACGAATAGTTAGTCGAACTGTCTGTGGTCCTTTCACGTTGTCAGCTCTGGAATCACATTTCTAGCCATACTTGTAACGGGGCCGGAATATTTGAAGCGATCAGGAAGACAATGCGGCAATGAAGAATGACTCTGAAACAAGTCACTAATAAAATTCAATTTACAAAACTAGATATATAATTAGAGCATGTTTA